ACAATAGATTTGAGGCCTTGGAGCCATTGTACTCCCAAGATCATGTCAAATCTAGCTAAGGGCAGTACATAGAAGTCTGCCATAAATGTGAATCCATCGACCATGAATTTCGGTCGAGGGCAGGATCCTATATAGGTACCCGGTCACCATTAGCCACCAAAACCTGAAGACGAGACCTGGGTTGGACTTGATGAACAATATTAGAAACCAGTCGTTGATGCACACAATTGCGGGTGTTGCCCGAGTCGACTAAAATCGTGATTGTGGTGTTGTGAATATGTGCAGCTAACTGCATTGTTGATGTTGTCCCGACACCAAACATAGCATGGAGTGAGAGAGGGGGGTCTAGGTCATCCTCCAGTCGATTATCTTCCAAAATTTCAATGAAAAACAACTGTTTGCATGTATGGCCACGAACCCACTAATCATCATAATTTTAACGCAACCCTTTCTCCCGTCGGATAGCAGCCTTTGCAGGAGAAATTTTTTGAAAGGTGGAATGGAGTTGCATCGAGGTTGGGTTGTTTCGGTCAGTGTGGGCGCATAACCTTATCATGTGGCGGGTTGGGGTGGAGGGGAGATCTTGATCGAGGAGCCTTGCAAATTATATTTGCGTTCAACATTATGTGCGAGCATCATCGCAGAGTCAAGATCTAACATATTTTGTTACTCAACCTCCATGTGGATGACCTCACGAAGGTCAGCTGTGAATATTTTGACCTGCATTCGTGTAGAGCTCCCCATGGCTTGAGCCAATAATCGTTGAAAATTCTCAATGTAGAGCTCCAGATCACGAGTTTGATGAAGTTTGGCAACATCACCTTCAGGATTAGAACTACTGGGTGGGCCAAAACGTTTGATGCAACGAGTGTAAAAGTTTGTCCATGTAATCTCTGGAAAACCCGTCTCAAGTAGATCGGCCCATAGTTGGGCAGTGCCGAGCATGTGGAATGTTGCCAATCCCACTCAAGTTTGGGTCGGTGTCCGTTGTTGAATAAAGAAGCTTCCGCAACGTTTCAACCATGACAAGGGATCCTCTTTACCGTCAACCCGAGGAAATTCTGGTTTGGAGTAGCGGGGAACTAAGGAATCATCAGTTTCACGCCGACGAGGTTCTGTGTCGCGTTTTCATTCATGCATTGGATTGCTGGAGGAAGATTCACCCATCAATTGTTGCAGGTTTGCAGATAGCACAGATACAACGTTAGGAATGTTGATGAGCTTAGCCATAGAATCCCTGATGTCTTCCAATTGATGTTCGATTGTCAGTTGCTTGTGATCGATGTTTTCAGTCGTGTCTTTCAGTGAGCCAGTGTCAGCAGCGTCGTTCGCCATCGTCCCATATGATGATACCAAGATGTTAAGGGCAGACGTACAAGATCTCGTCCACGGACAAGAACGACAGACTGGAAGAGAACAATAATTTAGAGAATTCTGTAATTTGGAATCTATGATGAACGTCGTATTAATTGGAAGAATTAAAAGAAAGGGCTCAGTGGAATTAATCTGATCTTGGAAGTATCCCAGTGATCCAAGAATTAATTCTCCAAAGCTCTTTATTGAATAATACTAATGAGCCTTATATAGTACCAGAGTCCTAATTCTAAACGCAAATAAATGCTAACTAAGAAGTTGCCTAAAACATACTAAGAATAATAATAAGAGAAAGAGATAAATGACAATTAGGAAACTGCTGAATAGGAAGCTAGGAATAATTAGAGAAAGACATAAATGCTAATTCTAGCCACTTTGGATTCAAGATTCACCCTCCTTGATCACCGGTATACATTTTTCAAAAAAAGGGGCAACTTTCAATGTTTCAATAAAAAATTAACATGCAACCAATATGGGAATAATAATAACATGTTACAAAATACAATTATTACGGAGAAACCAAGCATTCCGGCCCAGCTGGTTGTGAGGTTGGCGTGTCTAGTGGGAGGTCTCGAGTTTGAATCCCGCTAGACACATATAGATTTGAAGCTCAATGGAGTGAGCTTCAGACCTGATTACGCCAGGCTCCCCCAGCCCCCTTCCCCCAAAACCCCCCTGGAGTAAAAAAAAACATTTATTACGGAGAAAATTTACCTACATGAAGGTCACATATTTCTTTCATTCGGTTTTGTTCAGTTTTTCTTGATTTCAGTTTTATTCGGTTTTTCTTGATTTCAATTTGTTAAGTTTTATAGTCTGAAAGAAATACTAGCAAATTCAAACCAAATTGCGTTTGATCCGTTTTCGATTCGATTTAATTGGGCTTGGTAAAAAATTGAGTTATAAATCAATGATGTGTCAATTCGTTATTGGTTGCTAAAAAATCTAATTATCACTTCTATGTTCACGGTGCATTAGCTTTTTTTCTTCACATCACGGTGCATTATATTTAGCTATTTCACCTTAATTAGGCCAACTTATTTGGAGAACAAAGAGGAGAAAAAATCTCCTATTTTTAAAGTATTATAAATTTTTATAAAATATATATTAAAATTCATAACTTTGTATTACCTTTCATATGACACCAATATTGCATTTGTAAAATTAAAAAAAAAAATCTGAAGAACCAATTGGTCGAGATTTTTAGGCCAAGAACTTTTTTAAGTAGATTAAAATCCTAAAATTAAGATTTCATAATTAATTTTTACATTTTCAAGTTAATTTTTCAAAAAAAAAATTTAAACACCGGATTCCATATTATATATTGTTCTATATACTAAACTTGAAGTAAGATCATGAAATGCTATGTGTGACTCTCTTATTGGCTTCACATAATAATGTTAACATTACTTCTACATCCATTGTTTAACTCATTAAATGATGCAAATGCTCATACAATCATACTTTTACATTACAACATTTAATTAAATTGTAACATCTACTATATAATATGTTTAATTATTGATTGAATTGTGAATTAAAATATATTGTAAATTAATTATATTTTATATTCAATACTTTAATTTTATGCATAAATACACTCAATTTATATCGTGAGTAAAGGCATTATGATATGAAAACATGATAACAATATGCATATAATATTTTTTTTTTGGAATAAAGCGACTTTATATTGATATCAAAGCATTCAGCAAGGGAACAAGAAAGTAAAAGGACCACTTCCAACCACCGACCCTCGAACCAGACTTAGAGCCAATCACCCAAAATAAAGCAATATGGCTCGCTGATCTTGTAATGGGTCTAAATGAGCCTAATGTGGTTAGAGTAAACCTCTCACCACCCCAACCTAATGCAAGAGTCTGACAAAAGTAAACGTACAACACCAACAAAACAACATAAAAATCAAAGTAAGAACACAACCAAGCTAAATCAAAAGTAGAAATATTCTTCCAAACCCTAGTCGCACAATTCGTCCATGGCGGCGGATCGGGAGGGGGGCGGATCAATACCTCTTCGTCTTCTTTCACCAGTACGAGACCTCTGCCACCGGCAAAGCATTGGGACTTTACCGGGCTTCGTTGACCTCTGCAAATCCGGTTGAGGACGCTCATCCTTTTCTGTTCTTCAGTCGACGGGGACGCCGCAGGGACTAGCGGAGCCAGGTGACCGGAGCCACCGCCGGAAAAACTCCTAGGAATAGCCTAGAGACGACCGCAGTTTCTTTGTTGCTAATTGACTCTCGAACACCCTGCCTTCCTTCAGAATTCAATTACCGCAGCCCAGGCCTATAGACCCGCCGAACGAGAGATGGCTGATGCGCCGAATAAGGGGAAGATGATGTGCAACGCCGCCGGTGCTAGGGTTTCCCCTAGAGCGACATTATTTACATAACTTAAATAAACGATACAACCAATATGCATATAATATGAACATTGTCAAAAACTTCACAGTTAATATTTCGTACATAACACTTTTATAATTCTTCAATAATACAAAACTGCAAGAATATGCTCCCATTGTCCTAATTTGTTTTACAAAAATGGTTTACGAGGTTGATTGAACATAAAGATAATCCTTCTCAATTTCTTTTGCAAAAACGGTCTAATGAAACACAAATAATCACATATCTAAGGTGAATAAAAATTGACAATCAAAATTAGAGAAATAATAAAAAGTTATTGTATTAACCAAGAAAAATAAATTGAAAACAATTTCGTGACAAAAAATGGGTAAGCTATGTTGTTTTAGTCCCGTAACTTTGAGCGTATTTGTTATTAATCCCATAACTTTTGAGCGTATTTGCTATTATATTAGTCATGTAACTTTACTCACTTGCAGAACTGCAAGTGTAACCGGTAAATTTGTCTACATTAAAGACTTTTCGATCAGAAAATAGGCTTTACGTAGAAAAATTAGTAAAGTGACCACTGTCGTCTACTTTCAGGACTAAATTTCTAATTTTCTAATAAAAACATCAAATTTACTACAGTCAAATACATTAAGAATCCAAGTCCAAATCAAATCAATTAAATTAACGGAATAATGCAAAACAAATCTTAAAGTTTTTAAATAAATTTAAAAGAGTTCATACAATATGCACCAAGTACCAACATCACTTAAAGATTACTCCAATTCAATATAATTAATCAAATGTCCTACCATAAACTCAAGACTCCAAATGGACTCCACACATTATAAAACACAGAATTAGATGTACAAAAGAGTCAATAAGTGCAACTAATTTTGTGCTGCAAAGCTGAAATCTTGACTCAGGTATCACAATAATAAACACTCATTCTCTTAAAAAATGCTTACAATGAATTGAATGTCAACTTTCATGTTTACAATCAATGGTTAATATTGGTAAGGTGGCATTTTTGTAATTAGTTAGGATTAATGGCAAAAAAGCCCCATTGGAATTTAGGGTAATTATGAATATGAACTCATGTAATGATTAACCAATGATTGCAATAAATGTAAGATTATAATTAAAAATTCTCATTATAAAAAGTTCTCATTTTAAGTAGGGTTCCCACTAAAACTCTTCCCTAATGATGGATAATTTAATATATAGTCATTTAAGAAATACAAATTTATTATTGATTGTGATTAGATCATAGTAAAAATGCATTATATTCAACTTTGGATCTTATGAATAATTCACAATATCTATTGGAGTAATATTTTTCATTTTAACTCATATCAAATTGACGCGCTGCCGAGGTTCTACATCCGCAGGAACTTTCAAATAGATCTTATGCATTATATTCAACTTAGATCAAATATTTAACTCATAAAGGTTCTACATCCGCCACTGCACCCAACTGCAACCAGGAACTTTCTTCATGCCCTTTTCTTGAATACAAGATTGCAGACTTGCAGTCCATCTGCATCATCCCAATTACCCTGGTGGGAAGACATATTGGCAGCAAGCACATAGTTGGCTGCAATGTCAGGCTCTATTCTAAGCAGCAGTTCCTTAAGGTTCTCATTGATATGAGGAACAATGCGTTCATGCTGTTTGCAGGCACTAATAAAGCTCCTTAGTATTATAGAATTCGGTTCCATCGGCATGTGCATGATAACCTTGTAAGCATCCTCTCTGTTACCCTCACGTCCAAGCAAGTCCACCATACATCCATAATGTTCCATGCTTGGTCTGATATCATAAACACTCGTCATTCTACTGAACAGGTCACACCCTTTATCGACAAGACCTAAGTGACCGCAAGCAGGCAAAATGGAAGAAATGACAAGCTGTCGGGACTCAGTCCGGATTTTTCCATTCTGGAAAATAAGGATATAGCTTCTTCTCCATGGCGATTATCTGCAAGTGCAGATATCATTATAGTCCACGACTGCAGATTCTTGGCGCTCAATATATTGAAGATGTGGAAGGCTTTTTCCACGTGGACGCACTTTGCGTACATCTGAAGGAGGGCTGTTCCGAGGCCAACATGCAACTCAATACCATTAGTCAGGATTTGCGAATGGACGGACTCGCCTAGTCTGGCATTCCGGAGACTGGTACATGCAGCAAGCAAGCTCACCAAAGTGATTGAACTTTCCTTCTCATTTGCAAGCTTCATCTTCTTGAACACTCCAATAGCATCTGAAGGGGGGTTACTACAAGAATTCAAAAAGGAAGTACATAGGATGATAGGAATACTCAAAACTGATTTGGAGGGGAAACATTTCCATGTTTCTAGGAAAACAGGAACTATATCAAGGTATTGCTATATCATATATGCATCAATGCACAAAATATTTACAAACGGGGATAATGCCCACTCAATAAATTAAAAATATTATGAAAAAAGGATTTTTTTAGGGAGAATAGCACATTTTACTAGTGTACAACATCACAAGTAAAGATGGGATCAGAACACTCTTGCCCAATGCCTTACCACACTATCAAGCAACACTAAAATGATAATTCTCTTCTACATAATATGATGGTATGGATATTTAGCTACCAAAAGAAATCTTGTGGGTATAAATATTAGACAGGCTCAAAATTATTAGATATGTAAAACTAACGAATAGAGAACTTAAATGTAAAACTTAGTCCCATTCACACTCTACATGACTTTTGAATTTCATAGGCATTTTGCAACTGTAACCATTTCTTCAAAGCAGTCCTGGAAATGCTCTTGCTAAATCCCATTAATAATCTTCAGGTGCATTACTCCCTCTGTCCCAAATAATATTCGCCTTATACTTTTTCGTTCAACCTAAAATTAAGTTGATGTTTCTTTTTAGGAAAAGAATTAAATGGTTCCTATTTCTCTGCCCCAAAGATTCATGTGAAATAAGTATCATGTTAACTTTTATGAAAAGTGTTATGTACTCATGTGGTTCATGGATTCACAAATCTGTACCACAAAATTTTAGCTTCTTGATAAATGTGTCTGGACCTTATTATGAGATGGAAGTAGTTTGATTATTCAAACAAAACCAAACTACGAATAGAGTTAAGATGTATCAAAACACAATGGAAAAAACAAGAAGAAAATCCGCACCAATCAACATAGCTAGAAATCACAGAGGTCCAAGAAACCATGTCTCTTTCAGGCATTTCTTCGTACACCTTCCATGCAAACGCTATCATACCACAAGCAGCGTACATTACAGAAGAGTGTTATTCACATGGACATCAAAAGCAAACCCCGTCTTTATCGACATTGAATGAACTGATGCACCAGCTCCAACGATGGAACGGGACCCACAGGATTTTAGCACGGAGGGGAAAACAAATTTGTCAGGTCTTATCCCGGTTCCCAAAAGCCCGGATAAACAACTTCACGGACTCAATCTCACAGGAGCTTTTCGAGTACTCCATTATCAACGTATTCCACGTGAAGAGCGATGGAGTGATCGGAGTGTTTTGAAATACCGATCGCCCAAAATGAAGGGATATCGAACAAGTGGACAATACGAATTGGGAGACTAGAAACTCGTCGTGATCAAGACAAGTTTTGATGTTGAGCGAGTGGAGTTGGAGAAGATGAGAGATCTCTTTTGGTCGTTTGAACAGCCTCCCAACTCGCCGCCGGATCATTAGTCATCACCGGCCATCAGTTCAGTTAGAACTTTTTTTACTTAATTCAGCCATAAAGTGCAGGCACACCAAAAGTTATTTCACTCTTCCCAAACTGAAAACATAAAAACATTATAGCGCTTTATAACATCTATTGCCACATATTAGGTCACTTATTTGATTAAGTTCAAACCATTTGACTTAAATGTTAAATTGTATGAATTCTTTGTGGGAAGATATTGGGACAGTACAATATAAATAAATAAAATATATTTATTTGTGTTTGACTTTCCTAATATCTTCCTTCAAATAATTCACTCAATTTAAGCATTTTAAAATTAATTTTTTTTGTGTTGAAAAATTAAAATGATTTTATGCACGAATTATTTTAGATGCCACGTTATCATATTTTATATAGAAATTAGTTCAAATAGGACTAAAACTATGGCAAAAACCTAAAATATGACTTGCTATGTTTTTATTCCAAAATAGGATCATATGAGTCCTATTGGAAACATACCTATTTTTGCATTCCATTCTTACCCTTCCATTAAATATGAATTAAAAATAGTCAAAAGCCATAATTAAATGTTTAATTCATAATAAATTCGAAAAAAATTCAAAAATTCGTAGAAATATAATTAAAAAAATTATAAAAATTTTATAAAATAAAAAATTCAATTTTTTTTAAATAATTTTATTTTTAAAAAAATTAATAAAAAATAGTAAAACTCCGTAAAAAAAAATTAAAAAAATATGGATGCCTTTCCCACCGCCTGTACTACCTTCCAGCACCACCACCTCCGGCCGATGAAAAAAATGTCATTTTCCCAGAAAAATGCCATTTTTTTCTGAAAATGCCAAAAAAGTGGCATATTTCTCTTTTCGAATGCCAACATTTTCATTTTTTTCTGCCATAAATATGGCATTCGTAATGAACTTGGCATTTTTTCCCCTGGTGACTGGATGTGGTGGTGCTGAGGCGGCGGCGATTTTTTTTTGAGTTTTTTTTTTTTTTTAATTTTTTTAATTTTTTTAATTTTTTGAAAAAAAAAATTAATTAAATTTTTAATATCGAAATGTTTTTCTTAATTTTTTAGTATTTTTTACGAATTTTTATTATTTTCTATTATTTTATTAGGAATTAAAACATTTTAATAGCTATAAGGGTATAATTGTACAAGGTACACATAATTAGTCCTATGCAAACATAGTTTATTTTTTGGTCCTATTTGTGAAAAGTGAATGACTTTTAGTCCTATTTTGATAATTAACTCTATTTTATATCAAATTTCAATGAAAACTTTTAATGGCTAGACTCTAAGGGTATGTTTGGAAGTTTGGACGAATACAAAAGGAAAAGTATAAAGATTTATAGTAGGAACTAAACTTGATTGAAATCCGATCTCTCAATGAAAGAACCAAATGATGACATCGTCGATCTGGGGTAGACAGAAACCGAGTGAGAGTTGAGAAGTTGCTAAGTGTAGATCGAGTAAGAAATCTGATAGAGTAACAGTAATCTTGAGAATAAGAATTGTGAACCCTTTCCATAAGTTGGAAGGTGATATTTGTAGTGTAAAAAGAAATAGTTGGGGACAAATAAAACTAACTGTCCCACTGATCTAGTGACACATGTAAAGTTGATTGGTAAGAGAATAATCAATACAACTGGTTGATTGGTACAATTGCACCAGAATTTGTCCTTTATGTATAGGATTGCGTAAATAAGCCACATGTGTGAACTTCACAACTGGCATGTACAGCAGAATTGAGTGATGTAAGCCCTGGGATATCTGTTATGTAGTGACGTCGTGGATGTTTGTCATATCCAAGTCCTAAAATGTCTAAGTGCACAATCTTCGTACGAGGTTCTGAGCTCGGTAGTGGAGGTCAGGCTCGGATACAATGTGTTAGCTAGGAGGTAAGTAACCCCAGCCCATAATGCGAAGTAGTAAAGTATTTGTTGACTTCTCAACCTTGGCGAGAGACGACCTCAGCATCCGCTACTGTTTTGGAGTTATCTCGACGATCTAAGAACTAGTTTTGAGCTCGGTCTCGGCCGGAGTTTCCTTATAGTGGATTTTGGAGATCCGTTATTGTGAATGTTGATAACCCTGCGGTATATGGCAATATACTCCATCAATGTGAATGTGCGGAATTTACATATTAACTAATTTATAAAAACTTCACCGTGTTTTTAACCAAATTTGGTACATTATTGACATTTTAGAGTTACCAGACCTCAAATCCAAGTATCTGATGCACAAAATCCAATGATATTAAGATGTCTTTTATTAGAACCGAATCTTACACACTATAGTTAGAAAAAATTCACCTAAACAGGGAAATACTTTTATCTGATTTAGTTCATTGATTATTGTAACAATAACAATAACACTTGTGATCCTTTTTAATTTCTTCAAGTGGTATGTGATGGAAACTCTTTTTATTGTACTCGATCACTAATCTATTATAGTATTTGATCTTTATTAAATGTCAACATTCTTGAATTGAGAATGTCACGATGGAAACATTCTTGAGAGCACTATTTGGTTTAGCTATTTTTTCTCTAACTATTATATCACCAACACTTCAGATTTCTTTGTTATGCATTTTAGACACATATTCAATCATATCTTAGACCAGTACATTCTTATCTCAAGTTATTATAAACAAGAGAGGTAAGGGATAACAAAAATGGAGGAGACACATATTGTTTAAAGCATAAAGGAAAGCATGCATGTGCAAAAAAGGCCCATATGAAAGTGTAAAAAAGGCCCATATAAGTGTGCAAAGAGGGCCCATGATGGAGTATTTGGCCCAGGAACCCCCGGCCCACATACTTCCACTACCACAATCAGGCCCAACATGCCCAAGTGGCCCAAACACAGTAAACAAGGCCCATGAATGCCCAAGGGGACGTACCTCTTTCGACACATGAAGCCCCCAAGGGACGTACGTCCACCAGCACATGGAAGTCCCCAGGGGACGTACGTCCTCCAGCACATGAAGCCCCCAGGGGACGTACGTCCTCCAGTAAATGGAAGCCCTTAGGGGACGTACGTCCTCCTGCACATGAAGCCCCAAGGGGACATCCGTCCGCTAGCACATGGAAGGCGTCAGGGGACGTACGTCCTCTAGCACATGAAGCCCCCAGGGGACGTACGTCCTCCAGCACATGGAAGGCCTTGGAGACGTGCGTCCTCCAGCACAAAAATTTCCTTCGGGGTACGTATGGCCTCCAAAACATGGCGGTATCCAGCTACGTATGTCCTTCAGCACCTGAAGGCCGAGTGAACTTACGTCCTTCGGCACATGAATGCCCCAGGGGACGTACGTCTTCCAGGCACATTGATACCACGGGGGACGTACGTCCTTCATCACAGGAAGGTCTCTGGGTACGTACGACCTGTGGCACATGAAGGCTCCCGGCTACGTACGGCCCCTGGCACATGAAGGCCCGTGGGGTACGTACGGCCTTCGACACCACCCCGACAAGATATCCTCGACACGCTATGAAATCACCGTATTGAATACGATGTCACGTCCAACCGCCGCAATAAATGCAACATCACACCCAAACCACCACATTGAATGCGGCCACATGCTGTGTTGGCGCCACCCTGGCTGAGTCGATCCTCCACCGCTGGTTACTTGCCACGTGTACCCTCATTATTGCACTTAGCATTTATGGCAGTTATAATTAGCTAGCCACTTCTTCATTGTAAAGGATCTCGGATCGAATTCATTTAATACATATTACTTCCCTCTCTAGCTCTCCCTTCTCTCTAGGAGTTAATACTCCATTAGCCCATATGAAAGCTTTATACTTTTGGCTATGTCCTAGGGGGTTCATAGCGATGGAGGAGTTGGAGCTTGAGTTGCTGAGAAATTCGTATTGTACATGTTTGCATATTCTACTTATTAAACGCATTAGCATAACACACTAAACGTTTAGGAGTTATAAATTTGGGAAGCGGGGGTTACCAAAAATTATAATTAAAACCGTTTGTAAACATTTGTGTGATTTTAGTTGTAATTGTATTTTAGTTCTCATCTGTAAGTTGTAAAGTAGAATTAGGAATTAGGATGTTGGAAAGGAGGATGTTGAAGTGAAGAAAAAGGAATTTTGACTGTCCAGGAGCAAATACCCGACTGGGTAGGAAACTTCACCCGGTCGGGTCTGATTTGAAAACCGAACCACGGAGGAAAGAGCTGGACCCGGTCGGGCCCCATACCTCACCCGGTCGGGTGAGAAGTGACCGGGGACAACCCGGTGTGCAAAGATCACCAGAACGTGGGGAAATATCTGATTTTGACCGGACCCGGTCGGGTGAGTACTTGACCCGGTCGGGTACCCGGTCAAAGGTGTTGAAAAACACCTATAAATAGCACTCTTTTTCTTCTCTAAAAAATAATCCCTTCTTCCATACTCTTAAGCTCGGTTTAGAATAGCATTTCTTTATATTTTTCTAGCTATGTTTAGTCTCCAAATGAGGAGCTAAACTTCCATTCTTGGTGTTGCTCTTGAAGCTTGTTGATTATTAAAGTTGTGAGTTATTTTCTTAACTTCTTTCCTTGAATATTAATTAATAGTTCTTTCCTTAATACCATCTCTATATTAATGTTGGGGAGTGTTGCTAAGATGACAATTAGTTAACATCACGACATTAGTTAGAATGATATTTTCTTCCTCTATATTAATGTTGGGGAGTGTTGCTAAGATGACAATTAGTTAACATCTTGATATTGATTATAGTAGGATTCATCTCCTTTAATAATATTCTTCCTTGAATATTAATTAATTCCTACTCATATTTCATATTAATATTTTGAACATTACTTAAAGGATCAACTAGTTTTGTTTCATATATTAATTATTACTAGAAACGATCAACGAACCAATGGTTAATCGTTGATGGTTTCACAAGTAAGTAACTTCGGTTTATTAATGCACGGTCGTGGTTAATAAAATTAAGAGGGATTAATTTTGTTGGTTAAACCGAAACCGTTGTGTTGAGGTTATCAATCTCAATTGATTTCATCAAGGAGTTAGAAAGATTAAATGCTACTATTAAATCGATATAAGGCGTTGTTCTATATTTGATTAATAGTAAGGGTTATTAATGAACGGTCGTTGTTA